CATTTGGGGGATATCTGTACCGTCCTGACATTTGGGGGATATCTGTACCGTCCTGACATTCTTGGACCTCAGGAAATGAGATTGGCTGTCAGTACTTCAGGATTGATCAATAATCAGATCTATAACCATAGTTTGTGAACTCTATAACTTCCCTACAGATAAATAATACATCCTAATTTGGGTTATTTCCCCCAAAGACATGGAGCAGAATACATCTCGGCCTAAATTTATGAAGAACAATTATTTATTTGCAAACTTTTATAACAGAAACAAAGAAAAATGTGTTTTTTTCAAAATTTTGGTTTTTTTTGTTAATTTAGCAAAAAATAAAAAAAAACCCAGAGATGATTAAATACCACCAAAAGAAAGCTCTAGTTGTGTGAAGAAAATGATAAAATTTTAGTTTGGGTACAATGTTGTATGACCGCGCAATTGTCATTCAAGGTGTGAGAGCGCTGAAACCTGAAAACTGGCCTGGGGGGGAAGGGGTAAAAATTGCTGGGGGGGGGGGGGGGTGGGGGGGTGGGGGGGGGGGGGGGTGGGGGTGGGGGGGGGTGGGGGGGGGGGGGGGGGGGGGGGGGGGGGGGGGGGGGGGGGGGGGGGTGGGGTGTGGGGGGGGTTGGGGGGGGGGGGGGGGGGGGTGGGTGGGGGGGGGGGGGGGGGTGTGGGGGGGGGGGGTGTGTGGGGTGTGGGGGGGGTGTGGGGGGGGTGGGGGGGGGGGGGTGGGGGGGGGGGGGGGTGTGGGTGGGGGGGGGGGGGGGGTGGTGTTGGGGGGGTGGGGGGGGGGGTGTGTGTGGTGGGGGGTGGGGGTGTGGGGGTGGGGGTGGGGGGGTGGGGGGGGTGGGTGGGGGGGGGGGGGGTGGGGGGGGGTGTGGGGTGGGGGGGGGTGTGTGTGGGTGGGGGGGGGGGGGGGTGGGGGTGGTGTGGGGGTGTATGGTGGAGGGGGGTGTGGGGGGGGGGGGGTGTGTGGGGGGGTGGGGGGGGGGGGGTGGGTGGGGGGGTGGTGGGGGGGGTGGGGGGGTGTGGTTGTGGAGGAGGGGTGGGGGGGGTGTGGTGGGTGGGGGGGGGTTGGGGGGGGGGGGGGGGGGGGGGGGGGGGGGGGGTGGGGGGGGGTGGGAAGGTGATCTGTTCCTTTTGTCTGGTCAGGGTGTCCTAAGCTGGGTTTTTTATTTTCTTCCCCTTCTTCTAGGAGAAGCTTCCAGAATATAGGGTGAGGAGAATCAAATGACCAGTATGAATACTGATCATGTCCCAGCCAATCCCTGGAAGGAGGCATCCAGAAGGTGGCTGGGGAGGTGATAAACGTATGGGAAGCCTTTCCGGAGTGTTCCTCTGCAGGAAGGGTTCCACTTCTCCTGGGATATTTAAATGCTGGAGGGCATCATCCTGGAGTCCTGGTCTGGAGAAGGATCTTTTGTCTCCTTCGCTGAGGATCTTGTGGATGATGGGTGGCAGACAGCTCTGGGACATTGTGAGTGAAGACCTTGGTGTGGACTTTGGGTGTGAGAGTGCCAGAGGATGCTATATGGACCAGGCCTGATCCTAAGGAGTCCTAGATAAAGTGGCCATTCCCTGTTACTTCCAGGAGAAGTGATTAGAGAGAAGCTTTCCTCCGGTTCTCCCCGCCATCATTTGGAGTAGCCTGATCCCTGAACCTGGTGCCTGGTGGCCTCTGTACTGGTCAGAGGGTCCGGGACATATTGTCAGAGGCCCCTTGTGGGGGAGGGGGGCGCTACATAAAGAAAAGCCATAGAAAGATTCCCCAGCTAGGCAGCCCAAAATATTCACCATCTTGGGGTGCAAAGTGAAGTTTTTATTTCATTTATTGGGGAACACAGGAGTCATGGAGGACACTGAGGGGACAGGGACAAGGTAAGTTATCATGAGAACCCCAACTTCCCAATCCAGACATGGGTAACATTTATGGAGTGGCACACACACCCCAAAATCCCACCAGATGCCATGGTTACAAGCCCGTAGCTACTGCCTGTCCAAAGCGAGGACCTTGTTTGGTGTAAGAGGGAATGAGGGAACCTGGTGCAGGTAAATCCACCTGTGATACCCTAGTCACATCCTGCAATACCTCTGACCACCACCAGAGAGACCCAAAATGGCTGTTCACACACACCAGCAGATCCAAATCCTTCATACAATCCGGTGCACTCTGAGGGTTGGGGGGAGGGAGACTGGCAATCGGCACCTCGAACAACGGCAACAAGTGTGTATAGAGGGGGAAGGGTGTATATACAGAGCATTCAGAAAGTATTCAGACCCCCGTCACTGTTCTCCAGGTTCTGCTGTTGCCCCCCGATACTACAGATGTTCACCCCCGACAATGACAACGTGATATCAGAATTATAGGACTGTCTGTGAATAAACTGAAATCTCACAGAAGTATTCAGACCCTTTACTCAGCACTTGACATTTCGCTCCGGTGCCTTCAATTCCTCCTGCTGGTTGCTGACGTTTCTGCACCCTGATTGGAGGCCACCTGTGGTACTTTCCATTGATTGGACAGGATTCGGAAAGGCACACCCCTCTCTATAAACGGCCCCACAGCTAACAATGCATACTGTATCAGAGCAAAAGCCATGAGGTCAAAGGAGCAGAGCTCAGAGACAGGATTATTGCAAGGCGCAGATCTGGGGAAGGCTACAAAACCGTTTCTGCTGCACTGAGCACAGAGGCCTCCATCATTCTCAATGGTACAACCAGGACTCCTCAAGAGCTGGTCACCTGACCAAGCTGAGCAATCCGAGGAGAAGGGCCTATAGTAAGAGAGGTGACCAACAACCCGATGGTCACTCCAGAGATCCTGTGTGAAGACGTGACAAAGTTCTAGAAGGACAACCATCACTGCAACCCTCCACCCATCTGGGCTTCATGGCAGAGTGGTGAGATGGAAGCCTCTTGGAGTTTGCAAAAAAGAACCTGCAGAATTCTCAGACTGAGAAGATTCTCTGGTCTGGTGGAACCAAAACTGAACTGTTTGGCTTCAATTCTAAATGTCTGGAGAAAACTAGGCTCTGCTCATCAGCTGCCCAATACCATCCCAACAGTGAAGCATGGTGGTGGTGGCAGCAGCTGAGGGTGGGACTAGGAGACTGGTCAGGCTTGAGGGAAATCTGAATGGAGCAAAGTACAGAGATTTCCTCAATGAAAACCACAGAGCTCAGGACCTCAGATTGGGCTGAAGGTTCACCTTCCAACATGACATCCATCCTACGCACACGGCCAAGACAACACGGGAGTGGCTCAGGAACAACTCTGCGAATGTCCTGGACTGGTCCAGCCAGAGCCCTGACTTCAACCAATGGCTCCATCCAGCCTGACTGGTGGAAAATCCCCCAATCCAGGGGTGCAAAGCTTCCGGAGTCATCCCCAGAAAGACTCGAGGCTGGAATTGTGCCAAAGGGGCTTCAACAAAGTGCTGAGTAAAGGGTCTGAATACTTAATACATCTGAGATTTCACTTTTTTACTTTTAATAAATTCAGACATTTCTATAATTCTGTTCTTTGTTATTATGGGGTGCTGAGTGCAGATTAATGAGGAACATGAATGTAAATATCTGTAGTATCGGGAGCAACACAACACCAGACCAGAGAAGGGGTCTGAATACTTTCTGAATGCACCACATATTGGAGGGGATAGATGGGGCTATATATATATATACACTATATTGGCAAAAGTATTGCCCCCCTCCATATCAGGTGATTCAGGTGTTCCAATCCCCTCCATATCATGTGATTCAGGTGTTCCAATCCCCTCCCATATCATGTGATTCAGGTGTTCCAATCCCCAATCCCCAATCATGTGATTCAGGTGTTCCAATCCCCTCCATATCATGTGATTCAGATGTTCCAATCCCCTCCATGATCAGGTGTGATTCCATATCATGTGATTCAGGTGTTCCAATCCCCTCCATCATGTGATTCAGGTGTTCCAATCCCCTCCATATCATGTGATTCAGGTGCTCCAATCCCCTCCATATCATGTGATTCAGATGTTCCAATACCCCTCCATATCATGTGATTCAGGTGTTCCAATCCCCTCCATCATGTGATTCAGGTGTTCCAATCCCCTCTATATCATGATTCAGGTGTTCCAATCCCCTCCATATCATGTGATTCAGGTGTTCCAATCCCCTCCATATCATGTGATTCAGGTGTTCCAATCCCCTCCATATCATGTGATTCAGCTGTTCCAATACCCTCCATATCATGTGATTCAGGTGTTCCAATCCCCTCCCAATCATGTGATTCAGGTGTTCCAATCCCCTCTATATCATGTGATTCAGGTGTTCCAATCCCCTCCATATCATGTGATTCAGGTGTTCCAATCCCCTCCATATCATGTGATTCAGGTGTTCCAATCCCCTCCAATCATGTGATTCAGGTCTTCCAATCCCCTCCAAATCACGTGATTCAGGTGCTCCAATCCCCTCCATATTACGTGATTCAGGTGTTTCAATCCCCTCCATATTATGTGATTCAGGTGTTCCAATCCCCTCCATATCATGTGATTCAGGTGCTCCAATCCCCTCCATATCATGTGATTCAGATGTTCCAATACCCTCCATATCATGTGATTCAGGTGTTCCAATCCCCTCCCAATCATGTGATTCAGGTGTTCCAATCCCCTCTATATCATGTGATTCAGGTGTTCCAATCCCCTCCATATCATGTGATTCAGGTGTTCCAATCCCCTCCATATCATGTGATTCAGGTGTTCCAATCCCCTCCCAATCATGTGATTCAGGTGTTCCAATACCCTCCATATCATGTGATTCAGATGTTCCAATACCCTCCATATCATGTGATTCAGGTGTTCCAATCCCTTCCCAATCATGTGATTCAGGTGTTCCAATCCCCTCTATATCATGTGATTCAGGTGTTCCAATCCCCTCCAAATCACGTGATTCAGGTGCTCCAATCCCCTCCATATTATGTGATTCAGGTGTTTCAATCCCCTCCATATTATGTGATTCAGGTGTTCCAATCCCCTCCCAGTCATGTGATTCATGTGTTCCAATCCCCTCCATATCATGTGATTCAGGTGTTCCAATCCCCTCCATGTCATGTGATTCAGGTGCTCCAATCCCCTCCATATCATGTGATGCAGGTGTTCCAATCACCTCCATATCATATGACTCAGGTGTTCCAATCCCCTTCATATCATGTGATTCAGGTGTTCCAATGCCCTCCCAATCATGTGATTCAGGTGTTCCAATCCCATCCCAATCATGTGATTCAGGTGTTCCAATCCCCTCCATATCATGTGATTCAGGTGTTCCAATCCCCTCCAAATCACGTGATTCAGGTGCTCCAATCCCCTCCATATTATGTGATTCAGGTGTTTCAATCCCCTCCATATTATGTGATTCAGGTGTTCCAATCCCCTCCCAGTCATGTGATTCATGTGTTCCAATCCCCTCCATATCATGTGATTCAGGTGTTCCAATCCCCTCCATGTCATGTGATTCAGGTGCTCCAATCCCCTCCATATCATGTGATGCAGGTGTTCCAATCACCTCCATATCATATGACTCAGGTGTTCCAATCCCCTTCATATCATGTGATTCAGGTGTTCCAATGCCCTCCCAATCATGTGATTCAGGTGTTCCAATCCCATCCCAATCATGTGATTCAGGTGTTCCAATCCCCTCCATATCATGTGATTCAGGTGTTCCAATCCCCTCCATATTATGTGATTCAGGTGCTCCAATCCCCTCCCAATCATGTGATTCAGGTGCTCCAATCCCCTCCATATCATGTGATCCAAGTGTTCCAATCCCCTCCATATTATGTGATTCAGGTGTTCCAATCCCCTCCATATCATGTGATTCAGGTGTTCCAATCCCCTCCATATCATGTGATTCAGGTGCTCCAATCCCCTCCATATCATGTGATTCAGGTGTTCCAATCCCCTCCATATCATGTGATTCAGGTGCTCCAATCCCCTCCATATCATGTGATTCCGGTGCTCCAATCCCCTCCAATCATGTGCTTCAGGTGCTCCAATCCCCTCCATGGACACAGGTGTATACAATCAAGCCCCTAGGCATGCAGACGGCTTCTACAAACATTGGTGAAAGAATGGGTCGCTCTCAGGAGCTCAGTGACTCCAAGCGTGGTCCTGTGATAGGTGGCCACCTGGGCAATAAGTCCATCCGGACATTTCCTGGCTACTAAATATTCCACGCTCAACTGTTAGTGGGATTATAACAAAGTGGAAGCAACTGGGAACAACAGCCACTCAGCCACCAAGTGGTAGGCCACGTCACATGACAGGGCGGGGTCAGCGCATGCTGAAGCGCACAGTGTGCAGAAGTCACCAACTGTCTGCAGAGTCAATAGCTAAAGACCTCCAAACTTGGTGTGGCCTTCAGATGAGCCCAACAACAGTGCGTAGAGAGCTTCATGGAATGGGTTTCCATGGCCGAGCAGCTGCATCCAAGCCTTCCATCACCAAGTGCAATGCAAAGCGTCGGATGCCGTGGTGTAAAGCACGCCGCCACTGGACTCTAGAGCAGAGGAGACGTGTTCTCTGGAGGGACCAATCACGCTTCTCTGTCTGGTAATCCGATGGACGTGTTTGGGTTTGGCTGTTGCCAGGAGAACGGTACTTGCCTGACTGCATTGTGCCAAGTGTAAAGTTTGGTGGAGGGGGGATTATGGTGTGGGGGTGTTCCTCAGGGGTTGGACTTGGCCCCCTAGTTCCAGTGAAGGGAACTCTTAAGGTGACATTTGGACAATTTCATGCTCCCAACTTTGTGGGAAGAGTTTGGGGATGGCCCCTTCCTGTTCCAACATGACTGCCCACCAGGGCACAAAGCAAGGTCCATAAAGACATCAGGAATGACCACATGTGTGTGTGTAGGAATGACATCAGGAATGACCACGTGTGTGTGTAGGAATGACATCAGGAATGACCACGTGTGTGTGTGTAGGAATGACATCAGGAATGACCACGTGTGTGTAGGAATGACATCAGGAATGACCACGTGTGTGTGTAGGAATGACATCAGGAATGACCACGTGTGTGTAGGAATGAAATCAGGAATGACCACGTGTGTGTAGGAATGACATCAGGAATGACCACGTGTGTGCAGGAATGACATCAGTGGCCCTCCAATGGTAAGTACACGTTATAGTGAGAGGTAAGTATGTTGTATGTAGAAGAGCTCACTGCCTGTAATTGTCCCATCTCTCTGTACAGTGAGCCCCTCCCCCGCCCGTGAAGACATTATAATTGCAATATAGAGGCCTCCTGCTGCTGATCCTCTGGATTCTGGACTTCGGAGTCAATGACCTGAAAGCAGGCCATACTACTCGCTGTGAAAATGCTGGCTGCCTGGCGGTCATGCTGATCCTCTGGCTACAGAAGAAGGATGCAGATAAAGACTTCTGACTTCCCTGATCTGTGACTCTTGGAGGATAAAAGCCAGAGGATCAGCATGACAGCCAGACAACTGGCATTTCCTGTGTCAGGTGGTTTCTGTTTTCAAAGCTGCCATTGCTGACCGATCCCCCCCGTGCCCCCCCTCCCCCCGATCCCCCCCCCGTGCCCCCCTCCCCCAGCAGCTGATGTTTTGTGCTGGGAGGACCTCCGCCCTCATCCCCGGGGGGAGTTGATGGTTCCTCGCCCGGCTCACGTCTGTCACCTGGATCCACTTATATCATTGGAAGCAGAAAGTTCTCATGACGGAAGACTGCGACACCGGGGACCGCCAACATCACATTAACCCCAATCACAGGGGCCACAGCTCAACATAATCTACTCACAGGGGCCACAGCTCAATAAAATCCAGTCAGAGGGGCCACAGCTCAACATAATCCAGTCAGAGGGGCCACAGCTCAACATAATCTACTCGGAGGGGCCACAGCCCCCATGTTCTTCCTAACGTGTTCACAGCAAGTCACGGAGAACAAACATGGATGTCACATTTTGCTAAATGTTATTATATTGACCCCCCCCTTCCCTTCCTCCCAGCCCCCCAATTTTGTAAATATTATATTGACCCCCCCGCCTTCCCTTCCTCCCACCCCCCCCCAATGTTATTATATTGACCCCCCCGCCTTCCCTTCCTCCCACCCCCCAATGTTATTATATTGACCCCCCGCCTTCCCTTCCTCCCACCCCCCAATGTTATTATATTGACCCCCCGCCTTCCCTTCCTCCCACCCCCCAATGTTATTATATTGACCCCCCGCCTTCCCTTCCTCCCACCCCCCAATGTTATTATATTGACCCCCCCGCCTTCCCTTCCTCCCACCCCCCAATGTTATTATATTGACCCCCCGCCTTCCCTTCCTCCCACCCCCCAATGTTATTATATTGACCCCCCGCCTTCCCTTCCTCCCACCCCCCAATGTTATTATATTGACCCCCCGCCTTCCCTTCCTCCCACCCCCCAATGTTATTATATTGACCCCCCGCCTTCCCTTCCTCCCACCCCCCAATGTTATTATATTGACCCCCCGCCTTCCCTTCCTCCCACCCCCCAATGTTATTATATTGACCCCCCGCCTTCCCTTCCTCCCACCCCCCAATGTTATTATATTGACCCCCCGCCTTCCCTTCCTCCCACCCCCCAATGTTATTATATTGACCCCCCGCCTTCCCTTCCTCCCACCCCCCAATGTTATTATATTGACCCCACGTCCTTCCCTTCCTTCCAGTCCCCCCAATGTTATTATATGGCCCCCCGCCTTCACCACCAGCAGACAATGCCAGCTGTATTGCACACTGACAGATTCTGATTGGTTGGTCAGAAACCCACAGCGTTCACTTCCTCCAGGAGGTTACTCATTTGGTTCCCCCGCACCACTTCCAGGGGGCCCCCAAGTGGAAAATTGACCCCTGAGGGGCTCAGAGCTCCCATGTTCTGTTATTGGATATTGAGGTGAGGCCGGCCCCCTCCACCCCCCAATGTTATTATATGTGAGAGGGGTGAGAGCCAGATCCTGGGACCCCCCAAGGTTATGGATATTGACCCCCCGCCTTCCCTTCCTCCCACCAAGGTTATTATATTGACCCCCCGCCTTCCCTGAGCAACCCCCCAATGTTATTATATTGACCCCCCGCCTTCCCTTCCTCACCCCCCAATGTTATTATATTGACCCCCCCGCCTTCTCTTCCTCCCACCAAGGAATGTTATGGATATTGATGAGCACCTTCCCTGGATGGATGTGGGATGAGCAATGTTAATGGATTATCTGTGGATGAGCTCTATGAATGGTTGGGATGACCACCAGGACAATGCAAGCTGTACTGCACAAGGAAGATTCTGATGGGATGAGCAGGAATGGACATGGGTTGAGCAAGGAATGGATGGATATGGGATGAGCAAGGAATGGATGGATATGGGCTGAGCAAGGAATGGATGGATGTTGGGATGAGCAAGGAATGGATGGATATGGGATGAGCAAGGAATGGATGGATATGGGATGAGCAAGGAATGGATGGATATGGGATGAGCAAGGAATGGATGGATGTGGGATGAGCAAGGAATGGATGGATGTGGGATGAGCAAGGAATGGATATGGGGATGAGCAAGGAATGGATGGATGTGGGATGAGCAAGGAATGGATGGATGGATGTGGGATGAGCATGGAATGGATATGGATGAGCAAGGAATGGATGGATGTGGGATGAGCAAGGAATGGATGGATGTGGGATGAGCAAGGAATGGATGGATATGGATGAGCAAGGAATGGATGGATATGGGATGAGCAAGGAATGAATGGGATGGATGGATGGATGGGATGAGCAAGGAATGGATGGATGTGGGATGAGCAAGGAATGGATGGATGTGGGATGAGCAAGGAATGGATGGATATGGGATGAGCAAGGAATGGATGGATATGGGATGAGCAAGGAATGGATGGATATGGGATGAGCAAGGAATGGATGGATGTGGGATGAGCAAGGAATGGATGGATATGGGATGAGCAAGGAATGGATGGATGTGGGATGAGCAAGGAATGGATGGATGTGGGATGAGCAAGGAATGGATGGATGTGGGATGAGCAAGGAATGGATGGATGTGGGATGAGCAAGGAATGGATATGGGGATGAGCAAGGATGGGATGAGCAAGGAATGGATGGATGTGGGATGAGCAAGGAATGGATGGATGTGGGATGAGCATGGAATGGATATGGGATGAGCAAGGAATGGATGGATGTGGGATGAGCAAGGATGGATGGATGTGGGATGAGCAAGGAATGGATGGATATGGGATGAGCAAGGAATGGATGGATATGGGATGAGCAAGGAATGGATGGATGTGGGATGAGCAAGGAATGGATGGATATGGGATGAGCAAGGAATGGATATGGGATGAGCAAGGAATGGATGGATGTGGGATGAGCAAGGAATGGATGGATGTGGGATGAGCAAGGAATGGATGGATGTGGGATGAGCAAGGAATGGATGGACGTTTATAGACCGACTACTCCTGTGTGTAGCCAATATATGACTTGGACTGGACCATGATGTTCTGTTTATGATGGCTCCTCGAAACCCTGAGCTCTAGTCCAATCCCTGGTCTCCATAGGAGGGCTTTTGATAGTAGGAGTGGAACAATTACTTGCAATGTTTGGGGCCCCATCACACACAGCAGTTTCCCTACGGAGCCCCTGGTTGGAGCTCCATGATGGAGAACTGGTCCCATCCTACATCTTCTGAACATCTGTGTACATGAAGGTCTCCTCAGCATTTCAGGAGATAAGATGACCTGATGTGAATGATTCTTCATAACTTACAGGAATGAGATAATGATTGAACTCTCTCTCTCCTTCCTCACAGAGGGAACTTCCAGGGCCAGAGGGCATATAAGGTGGGGGCCCCATGTTCGGCCTGCCCGGAGACACACAGCTGTAAGGAGTCTCTGTGTGTAGGTAAGTAGTGCTGGTCATACATTGCTACAAATCCAACACTAACTTGTATTTCCATTATATTATTGAAAATCCAGGTTCACCCCCAAGGCTGGTAACCCCAACATTCCGATGAATCTACTTTATGTATCAATCCTCAAAACAAATGTGAACCAATCAAAGTTCAATTCGATGGACATTTTCCAAACATGATCCTTTACATAGCATGTCTGGGGAAAGCCTAGCCTACTTGTGAGGTGGTGGACCTGTAGGACCTGTAGGACCTGTAGGACCTGTAGGACCTGTAGGACCTGTAGGACCTGTAGGACCTGTAGGACATACTAAAACAAAGCATCTGGTGGCTTCCTTCCTCTAGATCAGACACATCCAGGACGGGGGGCGGGCATTGATATTAAAGAGAACCCCATTCGAAAACCGAAAAAAAAATGAAAAGGCTTGAGGTCCCCCCCAACCTTCATACCAGACCCCTCTTCAATCATGGAGACATGGGCTTCTTGCTTGCATCCCTGGCCCAGTGGTTTTTCGGGATCTTCAAGGGGTGGTGAGAGTTTCAGAATCTGGAAGTGCCTGTATGATAAGGGGCCCCCGATATCCCCCCTTCTACATCAATGAATAGGTTGTACATAGTACCCCTTAGAACTCATTCACACAAAGATACTGCTGACAGAAGTCCCTGGAAATGCATCGAGAATCTGTCATCCTGCAATGTAGATCCACGCCAGTTACCTTGTCTTGTGATCTAAATCCACATCAGTCATGCTGAGATTGTAGATCCATCAGTCACATTGCCCAGCAACTGTAGATCCATCAGTCACAAAGCCCAGAAATTGTAGATCCATCAGTCACATTGCCCAGCAATTGTAGATCCATCAGTCACATTGCCCAGCGATTGTAGATCCATCAGTCACATAGCCCAGCAATTGTAGATCCATCAGTCACATTGCTCAGCGATTGTAGATCCATCAGTCACATTGCCCAGCAATTGTAGATCCATCAGTCACATTGCTCAGCGATTGCAGATCCATCAGTCACATTGCTCAGCGATTGTAGATCCATCAGTCACATTGCTCAGCGATTGCAGATCCATCAGTCACATTGCCCAGCGATTGTAGATCCATCAGTCACATTGCCCAGTGATTGTAGATCCACCAGTCACGTTGCCCAGCAATTGTAGATCCACCAGTCACATTGCCCAGCAATTGTAGATCCACCAGTCACATTGCCCAGCAATTGTAGATCCACCAGTCACGTTGCCCAATCGGTTGTAGATCCACTAGTCACGTTGCCCAGCAATTGTAGATCCATCAGTTACATTGCCCAGCAATTGTAGATCCATCAGTCACATTGCCCAGCAATTGTAGATCCATCAGTCACGTTGCGCAGCAATTGTAGATCCATCAGTCACATTGCCCAGCAATTGTAGATTCATCAGTCATGTTGCCCAGCAATTGTAGATCCATCAGTCATGTTGCCCAGCAATTGTAGATCCATTAGTCACATTGCCCAGCAATTGTAGATTGCCAATTATTGTTATTGTGTTCCCTCTGCTCTGATCATTCCAGATTACCATTACAGGAAAAACACAGGGCACAGGGCACAGATGTCCTTGGGGGGTATGAGGGTCTACACAGGGCACAGATGTCCTTGGGGGGTATGAGAGTCTACACAGGGCACAGATGTCCTTGGGGGGTATGAGGGGTCTACACAGGGCACAGATGTCCTTAGGGGGGTATGAGGGTCTACACAGGGCACAGATGTCCTTGGGGGGTATGAGGGTCTACACAGGGCACAGATGTCCTTGGGGGGTATGAGGGTCTACACAGGGCACAGATGTCCTTGGGGGAGTTGGAGGGTCTACACAGGGCACAGATGTCCTTGGGGGGTATGAGAGTCTACACAGGGCACAGATGTCCTTGGGGGGTATGAGGGTCTACACAGGGCACAGATGTCCTTGGGGGGTATGAGGGTCTACACAGGGCACAGGTGTCCTTGGGGGGTATGTGGATGAACACAGGCCTCCTGAAAGAGCCCAGGCTCTCTCAGAAATGATGGCCACATCTCTCTCTGGGAATTTGCCCCAACATTGTGGCTGCATGATGCCAGGATGACCAGTGAATGGGCCCATCCAGGAATCTTTCAGAGAAAAGCAGAGTTTGTTTCCACAAGACTCTGAACCTTATCATGGCTCACTGTGTGATCTTTCATAGATCAGAACCAGGATTTGTCCCTACCATTGGGTCGCGGTGAATCCTACATTTGCCGTTCTGCCAAATTTATGTCAAAATTCACACCAGTCAATTTTTTTTTTCAACCATAATGCACTACATGGCCCTTGACCCAAGGCCCATGGGTTTAGCAGGGCCAATATAGGGGCTTTTGGACCAGCTGCCACACTGTAAAAGAGGAGCACAGAGCAGCCATAGTGTCACGCTGTTGTTGGGAAAGTATGGAGAAAGTTGGCAAACTGCATAGCGAGAGATTAGGGTTAGTTAGGAAAGTGTACATTATCGAAGATTGCTAGCTCTTTGGGCAATTACCCCTTTACTGCCTTTTTATATTCTTAGTATTAGGGACTTTTTGTCTTTTAAATTTAATTTGTGGAAAATTTTACACTTCTGTATCAGCTGCCATCTCATAATTCTTGTAGAAAAGCTTGGCTTGTGCTCTCTGTCTCTAGTACATTGAGACCTATTCATGCTCATTAAATGGTCACTGAGATCCTTCCTCCTATTAGAATGAACCGGGTCACCGAGATCATTCCTCCTATTAGAATGAACCGGATCACGAGATCCTTCCTCCTGGTAGAATGACCCGGGTCACCCAGATCCTTCCTCCTAGTAGAATGAACCGGATCACGAGATCCTTCCTCCTGGTAGAATGACCCGGGTCACCGAGATCATTCCTCCTATTAGAATGAACCGGATCACGAGATCCATCCTCCTGGTAGAATGACCCGGGTCACCGAGATCCTTCCTCCTAGTAGAATGACCCGGGTCACCGAGATGCTTCCTCCTATTCGAATGATCCGGGTCACTGAGATTCTTCCTCCTAGTAGAATGACCCGGGTCACTGAGATTCTTCCTCCTAGTAGAATGACCCGGGTCACCAAAATCCTTCCTCCTAGTAGAATGACCCGTGTCATGGAGATGCTTCCTCCTAGTAGAATGACCCGTGTCACCGAGATCCTTCCTCCTAGTAGAATGACCTGTGTCATGGAGATGCTTCCTCCTAGTAGAATGACCCGGGTCACCGAGATCCTTCCTCCTGGTAGAATGACCCGGTTCACCAAAATCCTTCCTCCTAGTAGAATGACCCGGGTCACTGAGATTCTTCCTCCTGGTAGAATGAGCCGGTCACCAAAATCCTTCCTCCTAGTAGAATGACCCGGGTCACCGAGATCCTTCCTCCTAGTAGAATGACCCGGGTCACCGAGATCCTTCCTCCTAGTTGAATGACCCGGGTCACTGAGATCCTTCCTCCTAGTAGAATGACCCGTGTCATGGAGATGCTTCCTCCTAGTAGAATGACTCGGGTCACCGAGAACCTTCCTCTTAATAGAATGACCCGGGTCACCGAGATCCTTCCTCCTAGTAGAATGACCCGGGTCACCGAGATCCTTCCTCCTAGTAGAATGACCTGTGTCACCGAGATCCTTCCTCCTAGTAGAATGACCCGGGTCACCGAGATCCTTCCTCCTAGTAGAATGACCTGTGTCACCGAGATCCTTCCTCCTAGTAGAATGACCTGTGTCATGGAGATGCTTCCTCCTAGTAGAATGACCTGTGTCACTGAGATCCTTCCTCCTAGTAGAATGACCTGTGTCATGGAGATGCTTCCTCCTAGTAGAATGACCTGGGTCACCGAGATCCTTTCTCCTGGTAGAATGACCCGGGCCACCGAGATCCTTCCTCCTAGTAGAATGACCCGGGTCACCGAGATCCTTCCTCCTAGTAGAATGACCTGTGTCATGGAGATCCTTCCTCCTAGTAGAATGACCTGTGTCATGGAGATGCTTCCTCCTGGTAGAATGAGCCGGGTCACCAAAATCCTTCCTCCTAGTAGAATGACCTGGGTCACCGAGATCCTTCCTCCTATTAGAATGCACCGGGTCACCAAAATCCTTCCTCCTAGTAGAATGACCCGGGTCACTGAGATTCTTCCTCCTAGTAGATTGAACCAGGTCACCGAGATCCTTCCTCCTAGTAGAATGACCTGTGTCACTGAGATCCTTCCTCCTAGTAGAACGACCCGGGTCACCGAGATCCTTCCTCCTAGTAGAATGACCTGTGTCATGGAGATGCTTCCTCCTAGTAGAACGACCCGTGTCACTGAGATCCTTCCTCCTAGTAGAATGACCCGGGTCACCGAGATCCTTCCTCCTAGTAGAATGACCCGTGTCACCGAGATCCTTCCTCCTAGTAGAATGACCTGTCATGGAGATGCTTCCTCCTAGTAGAATGACCTGTGTCACTGAGATCCTTCCTCCTAGTAGAATGACCTGTGTCACTGAGATCCTTCCTCCTAGTAGAATGACCCGGGTCACTGAGATCCTTCCTCCTAGTAGAATGACCCGGGTCACCGAGATCCTTCCTCCTGGTAGAATGACCCGGGTCACCGAGATCCTTCCTCCTAGTAGAATGACCCGGGTCACCGAGATCCTTCCTCCTAGTAGAATGACCTGTGTCATGGAGATGCTTCCTCCTAGTAGAATGACCTGTGTCATGGAGATGCTTCCTCCTAGTAGAATGACCTGTGTCACTGAGATCCTTCCTCCTAGTAGAATGACCCGGGTCACCGAGATCCTTCCTCCTGGTAGAATGACCCGGGTCACCGAGATCCTTCCTCCTAGTAGAATGACCTGTGTCATGGAGATGCTTCCTCCTAGTAGAATGACCTGTGTCACTGAGATCCTTCCTCCTAGTAGAATGACCCGGGTCACTGAGATCCTTCCTCCTAGTAGAATGACCCGGGTCACCGAGATCCTTCCTCCTGGTAGAATGACC